TTTATTTCACTAGGTCTCTCTATTGCTGCTATGGGAAACATGGTCCATTACTTTTCCTTCCTTAGTACCTATGTAGAAACTATGTTCTCTAAGCCAAGATGATGGGGGAGGGAGAGAAAAACACAGAAATTCCAGAAACAGGTGCTGTTCACTCTGGTCCTTATAAAAGGAGCATGAAAAGAGATGAAAAGAAAAGGTTGTGATTGGACCCAACTCCATAAACATTCAAAAGTGTGTGAGGAGGTGCTGGACTTAATATGGAATTAATAAAAAGACATTTAACTGAAGCAGAATAAGAAGTAAGATGGATACATACAGAAGAAAATTGGCTCAGAGGCAAAAAAAAAAAAAGGAAACAACATGAAGCTGAGTGAGCAATGGTGTTCTAGAAGATCTGAAGCAGCAATGCCAGCTCCAGCTTACATGAGAAGTCACAACCAGAAAGAAGCAGCAGGGATATGAGGACGGAAGGATATACAATGATAGCAGATTGAAATATTTCTGAACTACTAGGTACAAAACACCCCAGCAAATAGTGATGAAGAGGAATGGTGCAGGGAAAGGAAGCCTTGACTTATACATCTGGGTTCCAGATGTGGCCCTGAGCCTAACTGACGTGTGTTTCCCTTCTGAGCCTGTGTTCATCTAATAAAACAAGGGGGAGGTTGTGAGGTGGTGGTGGGGGTCATGTTATCCGGGCATCTCTAAAGTCCTTTCCAGTTCTGGCTTTCTATGAGTGTGTGACAGCGGGAAAGATGTGGAAGTATGAGCAGAGATCTTATGATTTCCTGTTCAACGTGATTCTTGAATCTCCAGCCTGGCACGTGTCATACGCTCAGTAAACCTGGTACATTCACTCAGAAATAAATGAATGAGCACAGTGCTACCATTGGGGAGAAAGCCATCTGTCTTAGTTACCTAATACTGCTACAACAGAAATACCACAAATGGGTGGCTTTGACAAACAAATATTTATTTTCTTAGTTTGAAAACAAAAACCATTGTCATCGAGTCAATTCCAACTCATAGAGACCCTATAGGACAGAGTACAACTGCCCCATAGGGTTTCCAAGGTTGTATATGTTATGGAAGCAGTCTGCCTTATCTTTCTCCCAAAGAGTGGCTGGTGGGTTCTATTAATACTGTCTCATTAACATAAAAAGAAAGTCCATTCCCAATTGGGATTAAGGTCACTATGACTTGACAGCACACAACATACCAAAAAAAAAAAACCAAACTGCCATCAGAGTGGATTCAACTCATAGCGACCCCTCCTTGGGTTTCTGAGGCGGTATCTCTATGGAAGTAGGGGTTAGGATTTACAACACATATTTTTTGGGGACACAGTTCAATCCGTGACACTGTCTGAGAGACAGCACTTGATCTCAAAAATAGAATCTGTAACTAATTAATTTACATATTCATTATGCAAAAGCAGAGTGGCTAATATTGTGGCCTTTTCAGTGATACATCAGGGCTTTGTCAGGCAGTGAGTGTGGTAGGAGGCACAAAAGCAAAAAAGAACAGGTCCAGTGTAAGAGAGGTAGAGTGGTCTGCTTTGACCAGAGGACAAGAGGTATACGGATGAGTCATGGGAATAAAGCTGGAAATGTGAGTTGGGGCCAAACTGGCTCAGGCCAGCCCACTCAGCAGCACTTGCCCTCTATTCAAAGAGGTAAGGCAGGACTGTTTTTAAAAGCACAGGTTTGGAGCCAGGCATGTGGGTTCCAATTCCAGTGTGAACCATAAGTAACTAACTTAACCTCTCCATGCCTTTGCTTCCACATAGGTCAAACGGGGGGAAAAAAAAACAAAAAAAAAAAACCAACCAGTTGTCATCAAGCAGATTCCAACTCATGGCAACACCATGTGTGTCAAAGCAAAATGTGCTCCATGGAGTTTTCAACAGTTGGGTTTTTGGCAGTAGATAGCCAGGTCTCTCTTCTGAATGCCTGTGGGTGGACATGGTCCTCCAATTTTCCAGCTAGCAGCCAAGCACATTAACCTTCTGTTAACCTTTTGTTACTCCTCCATATAGGTAAAAAGGTGATAATAATAGTTCTTTATGCTAAGGTTGATGCAATGACTGAACTAGTTAATACCTACAGAGCACTTAAACAGTGCCTATGGGTTTAGGCTCTAAGAGAGCATGCAGTAAGTATTAGCCATTAAATTGTTATGGTTATTATTAACTTTGAAATCACTAGTGCCACTGAACAGGTAATGACAACAGCTTCTCTTTCAGATGCTTATCGGGCTGTGCTGGGGAGGACACAGAGAGGTGGAAGGTGAGAGATTGGTTAAGAGCTCCTTGCAATTCTAGGTGAGAGGGCTGAGCATCCAAAGCAGCAAAGAAAAGGAAAGAAAGGGAATGGGGAAGGAGAACGAGCCAAAGACAAATATATCTGAGCAGTTTTATTGATCAAACTTGACTTGGCAAATGCTTTGATGTGACTGGTACAGAAAATAGAATAGTCAACAGAGACAATAAAAAGAGTTCGTCTGAAAACATCCATTTTCCCACTGAGATGTCTCTTGAAATCACTCTAGGAAATTCATCCTGCCTGCCTGAAGGTCCCTTGGTGGCACAACAGCTCAGTGGTTGGATACTAACCAAAAGGTTGGTGGGTCAAACCAACCCAGAGGTTCTGCAAGGGAAAGACCTGGCAATCTGCTCCCATAAAGATTACAGTCTAGGAAACCCTATGAGCAGTTCTACTAGGTCACATGGGGTCATTATGAGTCAAACCTATATCAACAGCACCTAGCAACAACAGCCCTAGACTGTGAGCTTCTTATTCAAGTTGTTATACTTAATAGTCCTGGTACACAGCAGGCATACAGTGTTTGCTGAGTGAGTAATTGTCAGCATTACCAAAACAGAAATGCAGCAGAATGACCCCAGTTAGTGGAACTGTGGAACACGTTACTTTGAACATTTATAAATTAGCAGAGCACACCTTTTCATAACACAGAGAAGAGCGAATACTGAAGGCTGGTGAGCTGTCATATTTGCTTTTTTCTGTATAAAGCTGTTACATTTTGGAGGCATCTACTGCCATTTGAGAACAATCGGTGAAAATACAAAATGATTCCCTGAAGTTCTTTACATTCCGTAAAGATCTAGGTGAAGATATAAACAAGGCTACCAGCAGGCTGATAACAACAATTAGGAGATTAATATCCGTGAAATGATAGAGACCTAGAGCAGAACCCCATATTGTGAGTGCATTATCGGATGGTTCTTCCTCAGATTCAGCTCAACATCAAGTCAATGGATGTTCACCAAAATGGGGTAACTGGGGGTGGGGGGAGGGAGACTGTCTCCAAAAGAAAATCTGTATGTCTTTTCAGAGAAATGTCTTACACCTTCCCAATGTCAACATTCTGCATTTATCTGGAGCAGTTTCCCAGCCTCAGCACTAGTGTAATCTGGAGCTGGGAAATTCTTTGTTGTGGGGGCTTCCTGCCCATAGGAGAGTTTTACACAGCTCACAGACTCACAGAGTTTCACACATGCTGACAAATGTGATGGAAACCTCTCCAAACCGCTGAGAACGCAGGGCAGGATTTTCATTCCTGTTTGACAGAGAAGCAAATGCTTTGCAAATGTTTGATGTTTTAAAACAGGAAATATTATGTTTTATGTAAACTAAAGTGCAATTAGGCGCCCCGGTGGTGCAGGGGTTAAACACTCAGCTGCTAACCAAAAGGTCAGGAGTTCAAACCCACCAGCCAATCCACAGGCGAAAGATGAGGCAGTCTGCTTCCTTAAAGAACACAGTCTTGGAAACCCTATAGAACAGTTCTCCTCTGTCCTATAGGGTCACTACGAGCTGGAGTCGACCCATTGACACACAATAACAGAGTGCAATGCTTTAAAAAGCAGCCACATGGATAACATCCTAGTTCTGCCATCAATTGAGTCAGGCCTCCTGAGAATTGCTTCATCCGTCAAGGCTTGTTTCTTCCATTCATGAAATGTGGGTTTGAGCCAGGTGAGCATTAAGACTCCTCCTTGCTATCTAACACTATCATGCTCTCATCCTATGCCAGGAAATTTTTGTTTTATTTATGTTACATGAGGGTGACTCTTAACCTACTTGCCATGCAGCTACTATCACACAAAGCAATGGGTGACAGGCCTCAGGTGCAATGTGTTCCACCTGGGTGGCTACCTGAGTTCCATCCAATACTTGTCTTAAGACTTGCTTAGAAACCAACTCCAGGTCCCTTGGTGGTGCAAATCTTGAACACCCTCAGCCGCTAATAGAAAGCCTGGAGATCGGAGTCCACCCAGAGCGCCTCAGAAAAAAGGTCTGATTACTTCCAAAAAACCAGCCATTGAAAACCCTATGGGGCACAGTTCTACCGATACACATGGGGTCACCATGAGTTGGAATCCACTTGAAAGCAACTGGTAGTTCCTCCTACCCTTTTAGTTAATCTTTCTGCCTGAAATACCAAACTAAAGTCAATACATTAAGCGCAATTTACAAGAAAGGGGAGGCAATGAAAGAAGCCACAATCACTAAAATCAGGGCGATCATCAGCAACCGCCCACACAGCCACTCCGCACACGCAGTCCCCGAGGGGCTGTCTCTTTCCATCTACACCCATACCGCCCACCACCACCACCACTGGCACCCATTTAGGAGGGTAGATCTATGTCCCTTGTAGGTAGGTCACTTCGTGCAGAGATCTAGGAATCAGCAGATCGACGTTAAAACTCTGTCACTCACTTCTAATAAATCACTTCTCTGGGCTTCCGACAAGAGGCTGAATTTGGATGACCTCCCAACTCCCTTTGATCTGCACAGGGCAAAGTCAGCCTGAGGCACCGCCCCGCCCTCGCTTCTGGGGCCTGTTCTCCCAGCGCTCCTTCCGCCGATCTAGCAAACCCTCCCGGATCCCTTCCGCAGCTACAGCTCCTCCTCCCTGCTAGGTAGTTTGTCCCGGCACGCTCCAGCCCCGTGCTCCTCCAGCAGGTCGGCCGCTACCTGGTCCAGCAGCCGGTAGATGCTGATGCCCAAGGTCTCCACCAGCAGCTGCCAGTCGGCCCCGGCCAGCGCGGGCTGGTGGAGCTCGCTGCAGGCCTCCCGGAACTGTTCCTCCAAGAAGCCACCCGCAGCAGGTTCCATTCTTCCGTAGCCTAGCTCCTCTGCTTAGACAGAAGGCTGCAGACAACATTGGTGTGGGTTAGAGGGTGGGGCCAGAGGGGTAGCCCCAGAGGGTGGCCCCAGTGTGATTGGCAGAGAACAGAAGAGGAATAGGGGAGGAGGCGGAGCCTACAGAGAGGCAGGGCCTGGTGGGCGGATGTAGAAAGTGGGCGGAGCTGAGCAAGAGAAAATCAGAGAAAACTTGGACTCAATCTAGGGTGAAACACAGGGGCTGAGGAGGTAAAGAGATTTCCTGAGGGAAGGGAAAGAGAGAAGAAGGAAGACACTGTTGTCATCTCAGAAACCCTCCTCAGCAACACATCTTATAATACCTCCCCATTCCCTCCAAATTTTTCTTTGGTGTCTATCCTTTACCTTTTTTGTAGATGGTGGTAAATTTTCTGAAAGGTTGATAGACTTTGAAAGGGAAGGCAGAATAGAAGTGCTTGAGAATTTTCTGAGGGATCAGTTGCTAGAACTGTATTTAGGGAAATATCTTATTTTCATTATGCATTTAAAAGCATATTCTGAAAAGGACTATGGGATCCATCAAGAATCCCAAGGGATCCCAAAGAAGCAAGAATCCCAAAGAAGTCTATGGGGCAAAAGTGGTTAAGAAATCTAATCCAGGGCAGCTATCCAAGAGGGAGAAGCAGGAGTTCTCATATTGAATATACAAGATAGTTTTGCCACCCTGGAAGGTGGAAGATTATCTGAAAGGACCATTGCATCCGCCCGGGATTTCTGTAGCTTGCTCAAATTAGATCGTTGTCCAACTCAAATATATTTTTATTTCCTTTAAGTCCTTCAGGTATTGCTCTATTGCCTATGAGTGGACCATACGTGGCTTTAAATAGAGTTAAGTTGTTTAAATAAAACAATGTAACAGATCCACTTGGGTGCCAATAAACTGTGGAAATCCATGTTTCCTAATGTATAAACTGTGGAAACCCATGTTACCTAAGGTATAAACTGCAGAAATCCATGTTTCCTAATGTATAAACTGTGGAAATCCATGTTTCCTAATGTATAAACTGCGGAAACCCATGTTTCCTAACGTAACACCAATGAGGGTTGAGAAAAGGATTAAATCAAATAATAGATATAGAAAGTTTTTGCACAGTGCTTAGCTTAAAGTAAATATCCAATACAAATGTCCACTTGTTTGACATCACTATATTGAAATATCCTTCTGTACTTAAAAGGAAGCCTTGAAGTCGATGGCCAACTCCCCATTTATGCTAATTTGCAAGAAAAGGGATACAATCATAATTTGCAGGGGTCTTAGTCATAGTATGTGTAAGTTACTGTTTTATTTAATTCAATGCTATTTTGTTTTATTGGGTTGGAGGTATGTGATATTTTAAACTAAAATTCAATTACTTGAAAAAGCAATTGCATCTAAAACCATTGGCTATAAAGTGTGTACTTTCAGGAATCATTTCTATAGTTTGTTACTAAAGAAGTTTCTCTGAACGTGTAAAACCACTGAGGATGAAAGATTTTCAAATACCTTCAAGGAATCCCATTATAAGGTGTTCTTTTATGAAGCTGCAGCTTTATCACTGTATAAAACCAAACCAAACTCACTGCCCTCGAGTCAGATCTGACTCATAGTGACTCTTCCTTGGGTTTCTGAGGCAGTATCACTATGGAAGTAGATCACCAAACTGAGAAGTGGTTGGTGGGTTTGAACCGCCAGCCTTCTGGTTAGCAGTCACATGCCTTAGGACTACACCACCAGAGCTTCCTATCACTGTATGTTGTTGGTGTTATAACAAAGACAAGTATGAGAGTATAAATGGCATCTTGGAAGATGTGTAAGATGGGAATTAAAATTGTATTTATTGCTTGTGTTTAAAAGTGTGTTTATCTGGTCAACTCAGAACATATACATTTAGGTATCTTGTGATTTAGATCTGTGTTTATTTTTTTACTGTTAATCAAAGGACAGAATCATGCTAGGAAATAAGTTTTTATTTTGTGCAGTCTCAGGGATTTGGAAAAGTGTCTAGAAAGGCCTGCTCACCGGCAGGACTTGCCTTCATTACCCATGTTGGTTTCCTTTGTGAAAAACAACTGTCCAGAAGAACTTCCAGCAATATGGCAGTCTATGTTCCTAGCCTCAAACATAGAAATACTGACTAAAATATAACAAAAATGGTTTTAAATACATAGCTTAGCTGAAAAGAAAGAAATGGTACAGTCCAGATTTTGGGGTTGGGGAGGAATAAAATTCATAGACACACTGGAAAAAAACTAAAACTCCATAGCTATGATGTCACTTCCAACTCAGAGTAGAACTGCCTTATGGGGTTTCCAAGCCTGTAATCTTAAGAGTTTCGGTCATTGCTGTTCAGTGCATCAAGTCTACTCTTCAGATGGTCTCTAAATTCAGGTGGGATATAATAAAGGTCACATTTTGGCTTCAAGACTTCTTTTAATCGTCTTCAGCTTCAACTTGAACTTACATGTGAGCAATTGATGGTCTGTTCTACAGTCAGCTCCTGGCCTTTTTTGGCTGAAGATACTGAGCTTCTCCATCCCCTCTTTCTGCTGATGTAATGGATCTGATTCCTGTGTATTCCATCTAGTGAGGTCCACATGTATAGCTTCTGTTTATGTTGTTGAAAAAGGATATTTGCAATAAATAGGTCATAGGTTTTGCAAAATTCTACCATGCAGTCTCCAGCATCATTTCTATCACCAAAGCCATATTTTCCAACTACTGATAATTCCTCTTTGTTTCCAACTTTCGCATTCCAATCACCAGTAATAACCATACATCTTGATTGTATGTTTGGTCAATTTCAGACTGCAGAAGTTGGTAAATATCTTCAATTTCTTTGTCTTTCACTTTGGTGATTGGTGTGCAAATTTGAGTAATAGTAGTAGTAACTGGTCTCCCTTATACTAACTCACCCACTCACTCACTCACTGCCGTCAAGTTGATTTCAACTCATAGCAACCCCTCCTTGGGTTTCTGAGGCAGTATCACTACAGAAGTAGATTACCCCTTCTTTCTTCCAAGGAGTGGCTGGTGGGTTTGAACCGCGAGCCTTCTGGTTAGCAGTCAAATGCCTTAGGCACTACGCCACCAGAACTCCTTCAGGATAGATCTTGAAACACTTTTGTGTCATGCCATTCCTCTTCATTTAGTCTTTCCCAGCACAGTAGATCATATGGTTGTCTGATTCTGAATGGCCAAAACCAGACCATTTTGGCTCACAAATGCCTAGGATATCAATCTTTATGTGTTCCATTTCATTGTTGACATCTTCCAATTCTCCTACATTCATACTTCGTACATTCCATGTTCTGATTATTATTGGATGTTTGCAGCTGTCTCTTCCCATTTTGAGTCATGCCACATCAGCAAATGGAGGTCCCAAAAGCTTTACTCCCTACACATCAATAAGGTTGACTCTACTTTGAGGAGGCAGCTCTTCTCCAGTCGTATTTTGAGTGCCTTCTGACCTGAAGGGCTCATCTTCTGGCATTGTATCAGACAATGTTTCAGGACTATGCATAAAGTTTTCCAGTAATATATCAGACAGTGTTTCACTGTTATTCATAAGGTATTCCCTGTGGCCAGGGTCTCAATTCTTTGAGACGTGGATGGCCCCTTCCTTCTTCTGAGTCTGTCTTAGTCTGGAAGTTCTGCTGAAAACTGTCCACCATGGGTGATCCTGCTGGTATTTGAAATACTGGCAGCATACCTCCAGCCTTACAGCAACATGCCAACCACCACAGTATGACAAACTAACAGAAGACTAAGGTATACCTGACCGAAGCCATGATGTTTTCAATAGCCTCATGTGCATGTGAAAGCTGGACAATGAAGAAAGACAAATGAAGAAGAGTTGATGCTTTTGAGTTGTGGTGTTAGTGAAGAATACTGAAGGTACCATGAACTGCCAGAACTAACAAATCCGTCCTGGAAGAAGTGCAGCTGGAATGTTCCTTGGAAGCTAGAATGGCCAGGCTTCATCTCACTCACGTTGGTCATGCTGTCAGAAGGGACCATTCCTTGGCAAAGGATATCATGCTTGGTAAAGTGGAGGGTCACTGAAAAAGGGGACGGCCCTCAAGGAGGTGGATTGACACAGTGGCTGCAATGATGAGCTCAGATATAGCAAGGATTATGACACTGGGGCAGGACCAGGCAGTTTTTCATTCTGTTGTACATAGGGTTACTATTAGTCAAAGCCCACTTGACAGCATCTAACAACACAATCTTAAGGGAAGCAGACAGGTTTTTTTTCCATGGCCTGGCTGGTAGGATCTAAACATTTCAGGTGGCAGCTGAGCACTTAACCACAGCATCACCGGGGCTCCTCCAGAAACACCAACACTTGGTAGGATTAGTACACCCTACCCCACCTGTTCCCCTCCCCCAAGTTTCTTCTGGAGGAACTTCCATTAGAGTAACATTTTGGCATCACTCATTCACTGACTTCTCAGAAAAGGGATGTTTTAAATGACTAATGAGTTTGGAAGAAGGGACTGGACATGTCTGGATCAATGCTTTCTGGCTCCCCTTTTCTTGGCAACTGCCTACTTGTTATAAGTATGGATACTCATCTCCCCTAGGACACTGAGTAAATTCAAGAGGGAAGGCTCTGCTGCTACAATTGAGATTTTCCAATGGTGCCTGTGCCTGCAGGACAAGTTTCATTATGGGCAGTTGTTGTTGTTAGGTGCACTCTAATCAGTTCAACTTATAGTGACCCTAGGTATAACAACAAAGCACTGCCTGGTCCTGCGCCATCCTTGCAATCTTTGCTGTACTTGAGCCCATTGTTGTCACCACTGTGTCTATTCACCTTGTTGAGGGTCTTCCTCTTTTTCACTGGCCATCCACATTACCAAGCATGATATCCTTTTCCAAGGACTGACCTCTCTTGACGACATGACCAAAGTACAAGAGGCAAAGCCTCGCCACCCTCGCTTCTGAGGAGCAATCTGGCTGTACTTCATCTAAGCTTTGTTTGTTCTTCTGGCAGTTCATGGTATATGCCATATTCTTTGCCAACACCGTAACTGAAATGCATCAGTTCTTCTTTGGTCTTCCT